TATATATATATATATATATACACATACATACACATACAGTATATATATATATATATATATATATATATAAGTTTGTATTTTTAATCAGTTTTAGTCATTTTAGTAGGCCTACTTCAATTTAAACTAAAAGAAAATAAGATAATTAATTATTATTAAAAATAATAATTTTTATTTTCTATTTCTGTAGTGAGCAATATGTTGGGATTTTCAAATATGTTATCTCATCATTCATCACCATCAGTACAGTGTTACTTTAGTATTACTATACTTCGTATTTATTAATATTTTAAATTTGTTTTCATATTTTGCTTTTTCATTTTGTTTGCAGTTAACGTTTTAGTATATTTTTACTGTATTTAATCAATTTTATTAATTTTTTCTTTTTAATGTTTTTTCTTTATTTTGATTTCAGTTTTAGTTTAAGTAATTAGTAATTTAGTAACTAAAAAAATATACATTTTGCCTTTGCAACTGTCTGCAATAAAATAAGTTATTATATTCTATTTAAATTCATTAACATTTGTTTTATTTCAATTAATGCACATTTAAAAAAAAACATTTTAGTTGACAGTAACAACACTACAGTACCTTGAATGTCTTTGGATAAAGTGTGAGGCGAATGCATGAGTGTAATATAAGTGTTTGTGATTATCAGTGGCGTGTGCTGGTACCCTTGGAATTGTAAGTTTACATCTCGCAATTCTGAATTTATATCTTACAATTTTGACATTTCTTTTTCCCAAAATTTTTTTCTTATTTTTTGTTTAACAAAAAATTTACATTAATTAAAAACATGTTTAACACCAATTTTTCTTTACAAAAAGACACTCCTTAAATTCATAAACACACTTTTGTGATGGCAAAATATTGCATCAGCCGTGCTGCTCCGCGTCAGATCCCTGACCGAGCGCTTCAGCGTGCGGATACAGCTGGCACGCTTCCCGAGCTCCCGCTGGAACACCTGCGCATCAGAGGAGGAGCAGAGCTCACCTACAGCAGCTCAAACACACAGAGTCAGTATATCCTGAGACGTGCTGTACCTTGTGCTTGTCTATCAGATTGCCGACCAGGTCTTTTTCACCACAGACAGGTACATCTTCAGCCAGCTGTGGCTCGGCTCTGTACAGCCAGTCATTAAGAGCCAGCAGAGCGTCAGTGAATCTGCCTGAAAACAGCAGAGCCTCTTCCAGCTTGTGCTGCCTTGGGACAGAAAAGCAGAGTTTAGAGCTCATACAAAACATTGTATAACATTTTGCACTTTGTGATGCAAAACATTAATGAGTGATTTTTTTGATACTTCCAAAACTACACTGTAGAAAATTACTTTTCAGAGATAGAATTATTGGAGTATGTTACAATAAAATACTATTTCAGTCTTTCTACTTCAAAATTTAATGTGGATTTGCCGCTGATGGTGTCCCATGAGTCTCTGAGCTCAGACACCATGTTCTCCAGGTGCTGCGTGTCTTCAGGACTCTGGGCTTTCTCCTGCAGCGAGCGGCCTCTCTTCAGACAGGCCTCGTACATGGGCCGCTTCAAGCGGAGCAGCTTCTGGAAGCCCTGAAAACATACAAATCCACTTTATAAATCAACCATTGTGAAGAATGCATGACTTCTGTGGTAAAATTTACAGTGTGGTTTATACTTAAAAAAAAAATAGAATATTTACTTTCACTGTCCAGTTTTACTTCACTTTTAAGGGGCACCAGATCATCAGAAATGGTTCCTTATTCCTGATCTTGATCATACTGATGCTTCTTTTAGTAATATTTTGAAGTATGGTATATCATATGACCCTATCGATCGATCTATCTATCTATCTATCTTAGACGTTTTTTCTCGGAATTTGAGTTTACATTTTGATGTCAACAAATTCAATTCAGTGTAGAGATGCACTGATACTAAATTTCTCAGTCGGGAACCCACCTTTATGTCGCTGCGTCAATTAGTTTTTATTGCTTTAACCTAGACAGCCATAAATCCGACACAAGAAACATTTTCTCCATTCAAGTTGCTGTCTGACAGGTTTTTCCGCACCCTTTTGATCGACAGGATATAATCAGACCTGATCATCAGCTGTTTTTAAGCAATATACTAAAAATCGCTTTTATCAGTCAATACCGATTATTGGCCGATACATTGATGCATCCCTAATTCAATGTCAATCAACTTTTTTCAGTGTACTAAGACTTTTTTTTTTTTTTCAAATACAATGTAAGATATATCAAAGAAAACCAAAGTTTGCCGGAAACTATTTGCAGTGTCAATGTAGCACTGGTCTAAAGGCCAACCCGTCTCCTGAGCCGAAACTCTCTCACACTGGCCTCAGAGCAGCGGATCATCCTTACTGAGTCCTGAGATGTGAAGTACCTTTTGTTCAGTGAGCTGCTGTTTGATCTCTTCCTGTGACACAGAGCTCTCTTTGTGTGTGTCCAGCGTCTGTTCAACCTCCGTCATCCAGTCCACCAGCAAGTGCCACGATTCACTGAACTGTGGAAGTGAAAAGCACAGACGTTTCGAATTTGCCAAATGATTTCCTGGGAACAGGTCTTTCTGTCGGTGTTGTAGTTCATATGAGAAGTCGATACCTGTTTAGCATGTCTTTTGGCGTCCTCGAGTGTTTTCCCCCTGTCTGTGGTGTGTTGGAGGAGTTTCTTGAATCGGTCCTGGACGGTCATGATCAGGTTCTGCACCACATCACAGTCTTCCTTCCTGCTGAGCTCGGACAGACGTGTGGCAGCGGTTTCCACACTCGTCTTCCTCTCTCCGTAAGACTGCACCTCACCTACCAGCACCTGCAGACGACAGGACTGAATCACACAGACACTCACAGCAGCACACACACAGATGCAGGCGCAGACGCAGACGCACATACCCTGTGCTCCTGAAGCTGAGCGCAGACGGTGTCCAGGATGAAGCTGGGCGCAGACAGAGTGTTTATGGTCTCCTCACACTTGGTCATTTTGGTCAGCAGGTCCTGGACATTACTGTTAAACTCCTTGGCAAGACCAAGCCCCTCTGTTAACTTTGCCTAAAAAAATCAGGGATATTATAGTTGACTAAACTAAGACCGTAAAAACATTTTTGTTACTTGAAATAAAATCTAATTTAACTGAAATACAACTAAAGAAAATAAAAATAAAAATAACTTTTTTTGAAAATTTCATATTCATTTCATATCATTCATTTCATATCATTTAATTTACCATTTAAATTTCTTCGGCAACATTTCTCATTTTTATCAAACCTGATGTACTAAAATAAATAAATAAATAAATAAACAACATATTTTTAAAAATTGGGGAAAACAAAAACAAACACACACACACACACACACACACACATAGTGTGTCTATTGCATACTGTTTCCAAGCAATAGCATATCATAACATAAAGCTGAAAATCTAAATTTAAATTTCTTCGGCAACATTTCTCATTTTTATCAAACCTGATGTACTAAAATAAATAAATAAATAAATAAACAACATATTTTTAAAAATTGGGGAAAACAAAAACAAACACACACACACACACACACACACAGTGTGTGTATTGCATACTGATTCCAAGCAATAGCATATCATAACATAAAGCTGAAAATCTAAATGATTAAAAAATAATAATTACATAATTTAGATAATAATAATTTAGATAGTTTAATTTACTATGAATAAAAATGATCTGAATTAAAAAAAATGTAAAACGTTGATGTAGAAAATTATTTTGTTTATTTTAAGATTAGCCAGAAGAAATTAATATTTTAATAATTTTACTTTGAAAGTGTTAATGTCAACAGATCATCACAGCCACACTTCTGGAGTAAATAACATTTTTACTTTCTTTGGTTACACTTTGTAATAAAGTTCCATTTGTTAACATTAGTTAACTTCATTAGCTATGATGAACTAACAATGAAAAACAATTCTAAAGCATTTATTCATTTCAGGTCATTTTAATTTCACTCATTTACTCATATATTATATAAATCAAAAGTATGTGTCAATTTTATTTAATGGAGCTGAGCTGGCAAGAACTAACAATAAACAGTAGTGTTTTTATTAACTAACATTAATGTAACTAACAAAGATGAATAAACACTATAACAAAAGTATTGCTAATTGGTAGTTTATATTAGTTAATATATTAACTGATGTTAACAACTAGGATGTTATTGTGAAGTGTTACTCTTCTTTTTAATTATGTATACAGCAAATAATAATGTACTGTATATGTAAAAATGCTTTTAAATTCAAGTAAATTAAACTCTCAAAACTTTATGCAATACTATGTTGTAAGCCTGCAGATATACTGTAGGTGGCTATAATTATGCCGAATACACCGTCATCACCTTTCTTTCTTGCATTTTAGCATAGACAGCGCTCCATTTCTGCTCCAGCATGCATAAGCTATGCTCCGTGCTGGAGCCCCGGGCCACTTCACGTCCCTCCAGCATCCGGTGGATGGCGTTGCGAACATTTGTGTAGGTGTGCATTTTAGAATCCATCTCATTACACAACTCCTGCAACGCAAGATACAGAAATCTATTTATAAAAATACAGTGTTTTATAAACACAGCTTGCAGGGTTAAGACTCCAAATGTTCAGCATGCAGAATTAAAGTCCTCATTACCAAATGAGCGCTCAGTCTCTCGTTGGCAGAGTCTGGCATTCCCCACACGGTCTTACTGGACGACAGCCTCAGGTCTGTGTGCTCCAGCCACTGCAGGAGATCCTGGATCTCCATGGTTACGTCCTGAACCTAAAATCCAGTTATAAGGGCTGAGTTTAAAATACACCGCAAATCAGCACTGAATTATCTAAAACTTCTGCCTGAGCTTAAACTTATATCTTGCATATATATATATATATATATATATATATATATATACACACAGTATATCAGCATTTAGCTGTAATAGAAAGCTTTCGTAACATCATAAATGTCTTTGTCACTTTTGATCGATTTAATGCATCCTTGCTGAACAAAAGTGTTAATTTCTTTAATTTATTTCCAAAAAAAACCTGATAAATGCTGTTCTTTTGAACTTTCTTTTCATCAAAGAATCCTGAAAAAATTGTACACAACTGTTTTCAACATTAATAATAATCAGAAATGTTTCTTGAGCAGCAAATCAGCATATTAGAATGATTTCTGAAGATCATGTGACACTGTAGACTGGAGTAATGATGCTGAAAATACAGCTGCGCATCACAGAAATAAATGACAGTTTAACAGATATTCACATAGAAAACAGCTATTTTAAATTGTAAAAATAATTCACAATATTACTGTTTTTGCTGTATTTTGGATCAAATAAATTCAGCCTTGGTGAGCAGAATTAACTCCTTTAAAAACATACAAAAATGTTACAGATCTAAAACTACTGAACGGTAGTTTACACTCAAAAACTGAGATGCATAAGCTCAATCAGATCAGATCAATGAGGTCTACGATCAATCAGGTCCAGAAAGAAATACAGAACCTGTGCTAACTGAAAGAAAACAAGTTGACAAAAACATTGAATACAAGATTTGGTGATAGCATGTCATAATGAGAGATTTACAAGCAATTTTTAAAATGCTGGTTATTTTTGACTAAGAACACCAAATTAGGTAAAAGAGTTTCAGCACGGTTTAAGATTACGTAATTTTTTGAGGAAAGGGGAATGTAAACATAAGCACAATGGGACTGAAACTTACTAAAACCATTCTATTTTATTGAATTCTGTAATCTGGTTTATTTGCTGGTCACCTGACTGAGGTTATTTTCCAGCTCTAGCTGTCTGCGCTCTGTCTCACAGCGCACAAATTCCCAACGTTCGTTCAGCTGTTCCAGACGAGTCTGCAGGACATGTGAGCTGTCTCCCGCCCCAGACTCCATCAGGTTTCTGCCGGCCTGGTTCAGAGAGTCTACCGTGTGCACATGGGACATCACATCATTCCACAGAACCTAAATGCACACAACAAAGCACTTTTGATTAAAAGCAGTAGCCAGTATACTGCACAGACTGTGTAAAGATTGTGTAGGATGCAGTAAGCAGTGGCTGGCTTTTATAGCTTAATCTTTTTTATTGACGACTGCTGGCTAGCTCACAACTTCAATTTTTTATTCTATGACCATATGGGTGAACATGATTTCACCAAGTACAACGTGTTTCTGGATCAACATCCTTTTTGATCCTGGAACAATATTCTAATTATCCAATCGGAATTGAGGGATATGTTTACAGGAAATTTCAGTTTTAGGCTTACAATCAGAGTTACATGCTTCTGCACCTTTGCTATTCAGCTATCACTATTTTAGGGATACGATATGGTAGGGATTGGGTTAGGGTAATATTAGTAATGTTGTTCCAGGATCAACGTTCTGTTATTGTTTCATTAAATTATGAAAACATCCAGTTTTGCCTCAATAAACTCCTAATTTGCTGCTTATTAATAGTTAGTAACGTAGTTGTTCAGTTTAGGTATGTGTTTTTTATTTATTTATGTTTTTAAAAACTTATGGGATTGTTATTTTTGAATGTTCTCTGGACGTTTTGAAACAAGTAGGAAAAAAAAAATAAAACGCTAGATGAACATCTAACTAAAACTTTTCAGAAATGAAACATTCCATGAGTTTTTGTACTTGGAACTGTTGTAGAACTGTTGCTCATAACATTGAGAGAACCTTGCCAGAACGAACCGAGAACATTCCTTGTTACTATGCAGCATTCAGTAAGCAGTACACTAGTGTTTCATTGGAAACGAGCATAAATCACTGTAAAAGTGAGGACACAACATTGGCGCAAGAATGTGTATATAAAAACATACCACAGACAAACTTAGAGTTTAAGTTTGTACCTTGTGCTTGGCTAGCTCTATCTCACAGGTTTGCAGGTCGATGCTGATTGGCTGAAAGGCTTGCAGTAGGTCAGCCGTGTGGGAGAGCCAGGCGTGCAACTCATCAAGAGTGTTCTGGAACTGACCCAAGCCCAGCAATGCACACTCCAGCTGGTGCTGCTCAAAAACACAGCGCTGTCGTTGAAGTACCATTATGATGAAACAATATATATATTTTTTCCATTTAGCTGAGATTTTACCTGTCTGCTGACAGTCTCTGACTCCAAGTTGTCCCATCGCTGACGGAAGTCGCACAGTGGAGAAATGGACCCAGGTCGCTCGGTGCCCGGGGAGAGACGACACACAAAGCGATGGTTTAGACTCTCAATCGCAATCTTCTTCTGATAGAGCTCTCGCTTAAATTCCTGAAAGAGAGGTGAAGATGGCATGACCACAAAAGCTCTGATGAAATCCGATTGTGAGAATTCAGTTTTCAGTTTCCAAGGTAAGTTGTTTGTGTGGTCTAACCTTCAGGTCACACAGCTGCTCTTTAACTGATCCCAGGTCAGATCCCACTGAGAACTCCTCGGTGGATTTCAGCTCTGCAGAGTTCAGCCACTCAAAGAGTCCCTTCAAGAGAAGGTCTTATTTTTAAGCCTGCTTTTAAAAACATTTGTAATATTCTCTTGACCCATCCTAGAGTACATATGAATATTTATAAATGCACATTTTGTCAGTTTCTTCCATTGTCTCATAAAGTCAGTGCAACCAACAAGAGATTTCACTGAATTTAATCCAAATCCTCTATGGCTAGCTTTGGCCTCTCTCAGAAGGGCATCCAAAAGCCCTGCCAATTGGCAGGAAACTGGCCAGTCTGTTAGAGACTCATCACTACATCCACACGGAGGCATGAATACTGAAATACTACAACTGTAGACAGAGACCTACCACCAATGGATGAGACAAGAGACCACTCTTTGGGATTGTGTTTGAATGTTTTGTACTGCAAGTACAGAATTCATTAGGTAGCCTAAAATGTCAGGTTCTGCCTTTTTTTCTGTTGCTTTCATACTTGACAGTGATGTGACGTGTAGCCATGTATGGTGTCCCATACTCGGAATTTGTGTTTACAAATACCAAGACTCAAACCCGTGACCTTTGGGATACAAGTCCAACTCTCTAACCATTAGGCCACGACTGCCCCTTAAGGTAAGGTACTTACTTAAGGTAATGACTGAAAATTAGTTAGACCTAAAGTACGCATGGCATTGTACATAATAGACCAATTGTGGTGTGCGAGAAGGTCGGCTCTACAAAGAACAGTCAAAGCAATGTAAATACTTGTGCATATAATTTATGAGGACTGAAGAGAGCACATCAATATGGGAAAAAAGCCAAAACCTGGACATTTTAAGTAATATAGAAATCCCAGCCACGATGTCCAGGAAAAAGAGGATGTCATCCTACATTAGGAATGTTTTGAAAGGAAATGAGATCTGTTTCTTGTGGCTAACTCACCTGCATGCTGTCCTGATAATGAAGAGCCATTCGTAAACATTCTTCTAACTTACTGTTGCACTCTGTCCAGATCTTACTGAGATTGTTCCACGTGCCGTAAAGCTGCGGAGAAAGACCACTGGATAATGAAATATGAACAATTAAGTGCATTATGTAGGCCTACAGCAGTTTCTGTGGGGTTTAGTCTCATTTAAATTTCAAATACAAACCTCATCCAAACTTTTCGTGACCTCTGGTTTGTCTGTGTCACCACAAGCTGACATGAGTTCCATTCCCAGAATTCCTAGTGTGTCCAGGTCACCTTGCAGAGAATCAATGTCCTCCCTGAGTGTCTGAGAAGGCAGGATAATAGAGTTTGGATGGTATGAGGCAAAGAGTTGATTCAAAACTTTCAGGAATATCCTTAAATAACCTTGCTGAAAGACTAAAACCAGGCAATGAGCATATCATATGTTCTGTTTTGGACGCTAGTCCCCATGATGGGATGTACAGCTAAAGGCTGCTAAAGCAAAACTAGCAAGATTACTCTGGTCAACTAGCTTCACCAACATTTTCAGCATTTCTGGTTCACCAGCTAGACCAGCAATAAACCAGCCAGCCTGGACCAGCATAGAGCAGGGAAACAATGACAACAGTATCACGTTTGTATCCTACCTGCATGGTCTCCAGGCTCTGTCGGATGGTTTCTGAATCTGATCGACTGGAGTTGAGGTCCAGAACAGCCTGCTGGGCATCATTCAGTCCAGCTGTCATGTCACTCACTTCATTCCAGAACCTGACTGCCAGATCCAGTAGATTGAGAAGCCACTTCTCCCTCTCCTGAGCTTGCCTTTGAGCCTCCTCCCAGCGGCTTGTTAGACTGCAAACCCGCTCTTGAATCGCTGAAATTACCAAGATCATCACAGACAGACCACGCTTTTGAAACAAAGTGCTTATGTGATGTTCTGTCATGTAACGCTATATGTGCCAGGAGATGCATGTGATACATTAAGTGCTTGAGGTACCTGTGCCAATGGAACTGTCCCCAAGAGCTCCTGTGTTGGTCAGGAGCTCCTGAGCCTGTGTCCTCACACTGCTGAGGTCCAGATCCATTTTAGAGAGCTCAGACAATGTGTGCTTGTTGTCCTGTAGCTGCTCCTGAATTCGTGGGGTGAGGCCTTGAAGAGCCATTGAGGCCTGCATGTGACTACACAGACGCTCCAGTCTCTCTCCAATCAGAGTCATCCTCTCATTCAGCTGACATGGACATACAGAGTGTCAGGAGTGAGCTAGCATTTATGCAGCTAAAATGTGACAATAACGTCTTTCTATACCACTTTAGCAAAACATATGGCTTCTTTGAAAACAGGTTGTATCAGTGTAAGGTGGCGTTCCTGTAGCTCAGTTGAGCATGGCGTTAGCAACACCAAGTTCATGGGTTTGAATCGCTGGGAATGTATAAACTGATAAAAGTTATTAAAAAGCTTTTAATAAAAGGTTAATTTTTGTATCCTTCTCTAAGTGTCCGGTACAATAATCTCAGCCTCTGGTTCTCCCCTTCTCATACAATGGAGTTTTGGGGCATTCATCAGAAGTAGGTCCTCTCTGTGAAGGTTTGACTTATTCAAGTTAAAGAAACTCTGATTTATAGCTAAAGACCATGTTAAACCAAACTACCATAAGAAGTTAATTTAGCTGCATTCTCCAGTATGGGTTGAGGAGAAAAGTCTTGTCTGTCTCGCAAAATAATGCTCAGAAGGCAGAGTTCCAGACATCAAAATGATACTTTATTGCAAGAAGACAATAAAGCTGAGATGCCTGCAGAACATCTGACCATCTCACTCTCAGCTCACAGTTTTATACAGTTTTCAGTGATCTTATTGCAGGTGTTCTCCTCCCAATACTCCCTAACTCTTCCACCACGGCCAACTCATTGTTGGTTCTCTGTGTAAGGATGGTAGACTGCCAACTAGCCTATTTCAAAACATATCACAAAGTGATTATTTGGAGTATTTACCTCATAATTTTTATCCAAAGAATATGTTGAAGGCCATGTGGCCCAAAAGAGCAACTTAGTATCAGTGCGGATGCAAACCGCAAGCAACTTCAGCTAAAATCCCATTCTTTCCCGTGTGACTTCTCTCACAGTCATGTAGGCCATGGGGCCTTCAAAACACATCTGGCTTTCACAGTATTCAAACTACTTCTACAGTTGTTTTCTATATTTCTATAGGATAAATAAAATATTTCATCACATGCACTAGGAATCAGCATCAAATCTACATGTGTGTCACCTGTGTATAGCGGGGCAGAGACTCCTCCAGTACTCCAGCAGCTTCTTGAACCCTGTCTCTGATGGCCAGGTGCTGCTCTTCAGTGTCCCTGGCTTTCTGGCAGAACTCCTGTCCCTGAGCTGCATTCAGGTCTGATAGACGCTGGGCCAGCATGATCAGCCGTGCTATCAGCGGCTTATGCTCTGCTATGGACTCCCTAATGCCCTGTTTGGAAGTAATGGAGCACCATGATCAAACATTGGTGTTTGTATTGCTTTATCTGAAACTACTAATGAAGTCTAATGATTGCATTACAAAGTTTAAGAATTTTCCTATGAACTGTGTCCATTAAGATACTGAACACAGTCAGATGGCTATTATATTCTTGAGAATACTGTATACTGCACAACAATGATTTATTTAGTTAAATGGCCAAACCAGTGTGGAGTCCAATTTGTTTGAACTTGAAGTTGCAAATGCAAGCACAAACATGTATATCTGCTGTTAATACCTTGCTCTGAAGAAGCAGGTTGTTTAGTACCTGTAAGAGGTCCTGTTGTTCTCGGAAAGCCTCGTAGCTGATGGTGTTCAGGGTAAACTGACCAATAAGGGCTTTGGTTTCCTGTAACCATGGTAACACCTCAGCATAGCCCTCTGAGAACTGAGAAAAGAGCGACTGAGCATGCTCCAGTTGAAGCACGACATGCGAATTAGTGGCAGTAGTGACCTGACACTGCTCCTGTAAGGTGTCTATGGAAGACTTTGGAAGAAAAAAAGGCATTAGTATTATGTGGTTTCCTGTCTAGGTTATTATGTCAAAATATTTAAAAAGGTATTAAGAATGTACATTAGCTTACCTGGAGTCTCAGTGTATCCCCATCCTCAGTGTACGTCTGCAGGAGTTCCAAAATCTTCACCATTTTCTCAATGTTAAACTTGTGCTGCAGAATCTCTACAGCAAGTATCTGTAGAACAACAGACATTATATGAATCATTTTGAAGATTTTTACAGCATTTCTAGTATATATGCAGAGAAACTCTGTGAATGTGCAAAAACTCACTTTCTGCTCATTGAGCTGGGATGCAATGACGTCTGGGTCCAGATTAATGGCTCCGAGCTCCTCCAGTGCCAGTGAGATGTCTCTAAACCAAGCCAACTCTTTCTCAACAGCCTGTTCCAGCTGATTAAATGCAAACAGGGTGATGGGCAAGTAAGCATTTAGCAGCTGCTTTTATCCAAAGTGACTTTAGATTTTAAATGCCTTGCTTAGGAAGCAGCAGCTTTCTGGTTGCCAGCTCTTATCTTTAAACCACTACAACACAGTGGTCCAGAATGATATTCTGTGTATGTTACTGCATTATGAAAATTATCCACCTGTCTCTTACCTTCTGCCTCTCAGAAGAACACAAGACTGCATCCCCAGTCTCAGTCTGGGCAGCAGGAGCCAGCAGCTCTCTCTCGATTCGACCAAGCCACAGGTGGAGGTCTTCCTGACTGGAGGTACATCGACTAGATTCCTCCACAGCTCTCTCTCGATTCGACCAAGCCACAGGTGGAGGTCTTCCTGACTGGAGGTACATCGACTAGATGCCTCCAAAGCCTGTTCCAGCCTCTGCAGGACATCAGCACTACCCAGACTCATCACTGAGTACCGGATACGCAGACTGTCCACCCGCTCCTGCACCAGCTGGGTTTCCTCCTCTTTAGATTAGCATGTGAAAGACCGAAACATGTTTGAAACATGATCTTGTGGGTATTGTGCAAGGTTTAGTGTATTAAAAGAAAAAAAATGGCAGGAAACACCACCTGAAATCTTTTCCATGAGCTCATGAGCACATTGTTGGAGTTTCCCCAGGTCGACACTCTTAGCTTTTATCTCTTCCATGACTGCCTAAAAGGTGATAGAGAAATGCAAAAATGTCTTACACACTGAAATCTTGTAGTATGCAAACTTAATAATGGAAAACAAAACATTTTCTAATGTTTTGTTAACCTTGGCCTGTCCTGCAGCTTCTTGCAGATGGAGCATCCCTCTCTCTGCAGAGCGAAGCTCAGCTAAGTCCTGATCCACAGATATAAGCCATTGCTGAAGTCTGTCTGTCCTCTCCTGGAATAGCTGAGCTCTTGGCAGAATGCCCTCCAGAATCTTGTGTCTGTCAAAACAACTCACGTTCCATCACTAATGTCAGAGTTACCTACCCAAAACATCTTGTAAAAAAGTCAGTCTGACAGCCCCATCTAAGTGGGTCGATCTGGGAGCAGAATGCGCTGCAGTGAGGACCAGACTGACCTGCTGTTGGTGCCCTGAAGTAGAGCCTCCCACTTGAGTTTGAGCTGTGCAAGCTGCACTTTGGTCTTTTCACCGTCATTTCCCTGAAGCCCCTCTGCCAGGTGTGGACCCTCCTGCATCATGGTCTCCATACTGGGTCTCCTGTCCTCCAGGAGGCGCTGTAAGAGCTGCAGGACAAGAAACTTATTATGCTGAAGAAATTTATTATGCTCCCTCCAAGGGCAAGGCATAGGTTCAGAGACCTGAAGTGCCAGATCCAAAATATAATCCAATCTAGAAAAGCACCTAAATGTGCAGTTCTGTGGTTCTCCAGGACAAGAATTGAGAACCACTGGCAAATGGTGGTCCATTTGTCATTTTATGGTGTAAGGCCTAGGTCAACCTTTGCAACTTTCCTACAACTTTTATCTCCAACTTGCTTCAGCACACATGGCCTGTGATTTTTCAAGTGATCCTGAAGAGCTTAATTAGCTGGTTCTGGTGTGTTTGATTAGGGTTTTAGCTAAACTCTGCTGGACAGTGGGTCCTCAGGAGTAGGGTTGAAGACCTATGGTGTAAGGTGGTCATGAACACCTCTTATGTGCCCTTTGGCAAATTTCACGCTTATACTATTGTTAACACGGCCACTATTGCAACTGCTTTTAAGTGGCTTACATAAATCTGTTAATCTCTGTAGGCCTACAGGCTACCGAAGAAACTTATAGAATTAACTTCCTAAAACAATTTTGTAGAACACCCCCCCCTTGCGTCTTTGAAGATGCCTTGTATGAGGAAGCAAACACACATTTGGTTCATAGAGTTATTGCTCCTTTTGAGAATCTACAAGCTTTATAATGCACCTTGTTCTCTCTTGTCGCACTTAAGTCAAATGCTTGTATCATGTGTCAGAGGAGCATTGTGGGTATTCAGGTATGTTTCACCTTACTCACTAAGCTAACAAAGATGTATATCTCAAAAAGGTGAATTGCTTTTTTTTTCTTCACCCATTCCCATATCATACACAAAGGCATTCAAAGCTTATTATATGCATGAACTTACCCAGTATGCTTCTCAGTTCAAGAAAAGTTTAAGGATTGGATGAGAAATTACACGACAAGGCTTTTAAAATAGGGTAGCCTTTTTTATTAATAATTTATTTAAATATTAATGTATTAGTTTATTGTTTGTTTGTCTATATAGCACCAACTGAGTTTGTAACATACCTTCTGTTCTTGCAGTTGGGCTTTCAACACTTTAAACTCTGAGGATGGTGGTTTTTGATTGGCTGTCAGCTCCTCAATCTCGCAGACCCACGTCAGCAGCGTTTCCAGATTTTGCAGGAATTTCAACGGATCCTTGAACTCATCTTTCAGAGCCAAAACATTTCTGCAATCCTTAACATAAGACCAGACAATATGCTAATTCTTAAAAAAAACACTTTTTTTAATGAAGTACAATTTAAGAAAAGATCATTGAAATGTACCTTCCATTGATCTAGACTTGATTCCTGGTCTGAACTTGACTGACCATCATTCAGCAGCTGTGAATCAGAACAACTTATTTAATTGCACTGAATAAATTGGTGATGCATTGTTGATACATTGACTCCAATATCAGTTAAATGAAAATGGTAAATGATGATAAAATAAAGGAAAATATGTTAGGCCTTCAATGAAGAACTTTAAAATCGAAAATAAATTAAAATGAAATTGAATGACCTCTGCAAGTTCCTCAGCAGCTCCAGTAAGGACTCTCACAGTTCTAGTAACAATAGGGTCACCTCCTTTGCCTGCAGGAGGATACTCTGTCACCTCCACAATCTCTGTAACAATTGTCTCTGTCACTTCTGTGACTTCGGTAACCTCTCGAGTGTTCGGAGGTTTCCAGGACCAGGGACTTCCAGAATCCCTTCTCTGCAGGCTGGCTCTCCTGTCCACGGATCCATACTGACTCAGGGGGGATCTTCTGTACTCTGGAATATTACACCTTCTGGGCAAAGACCCATTTCTTGGTGTTTTTACTGGGGACGGAGTGCTTTGCCAGGCATTGTCCAGAGTGCTGGTAGTGGTGACAGTAGGGGCTGGGGAACTTCTCTGCTTGTCCGGTGTTGGAGTTTGTCGAAGAACCTCTTCCACGTCCTCTTTCCTTGTCTCTTCTTTAGGAGGCTCTGGGAGCGGCCATTCTCTTCGTTGCTGGTAGCACTCTTTCAAGACGCTTTCATCTGACTTAACCTTTTTGGACTTTTGTCCCAAACAGCTAGGTCTGCTAATGAGGTTACCCATGATTCTTCAATCCACGGGTTAATCGGGTCCCTGTGCCATACATACAGGACTTGCCTAAACTACCTACAACACAAGAAAGGTCAAAATGAGAAGATACTTTTCTTAAACAGTAAAAAACCTATATCTTTTCAAGGAAACAGTATTAGTTTCCACTGCAGTCTTCAAAAGAGATTAATCCAGCTCTGACAAAGACCACTAAGCTTAAATCTCAATTAGATTCCTTGCTGTCCTACAAAGGAGTCTTTCACCACTGTCACGCCAACAAACACCACCATCATTATTTATATGGCAGAGACAGTAACACTTGACTGAGGCTCTGTCCTGACCAAGAGGGGCCAGATTACTGCGGGAGAACTACAACATGAACACAGAATTGCTAGTACTATCCATACAAATGCAACTGACAAGCCTGTTTATGAGGGCAGTCTCCTCCAGGATACCCACAGCTCTTCCTGGCAGCCACAGCCACTGTCCTCTGCCAAGACTATCCACGGGATGGCCCTGGGAAACCATTTAACTCCTGATCAAATATGACAGGCATGGAAATGCTGCTTCATTTCTTTGCCACAAAAGAATGAACAGTGTTTTTTAAGTTCACGTGTTCATGGTTTACTGGGAAACACAGACCACATGCCTGAAGAACAGGACAGCGATGGACACGTAGACACACAACGAGTTAATGTGCAGAAACACTTATTCAGAGATATTTTTTCAACTAAAGACGATTATGTGTGGTTGAAATTCATACAGGCCTTCATCGTTGGCCAAATTACTGTCCTGATAAATAGTAAATGTACATATTTGTAAAATAAAAGTTTACAGGCTACTTTGTGTGGATTGCAATAGCGCAATTAATTAAAACACCTGTGCAACAGTGCTATTTCAGTGCTCTTAGAATCTGCTTGAAGATTGCAGGTGGTAAGTGAATGTGCTCCTGTTTAGTGAAGAAAGATTGCTTTCTTTATCTACTTTGTTGCAGATGCATCTTCTAAAATGTACAGTTCATATTGAAATCTCTGACTGTTGATTTCACAATGTCTGCGCACAGTTTGTGTCTTTGTTGAGATCTCTTCTGAAACTACTGGAGACGTGAGATTACTGTGGTCTGTTTTGAAAGAGAAAAATCTAAGAAAAATCTCCATTTGCTCTCTATTTCTGTTTTCTCTCACTCCTGTCTAAGAGAAACAATTAAACAGATCAAATTTCAGATTTTTTTATTCTTGGGTAAAAGCAGACAAAATCTGAAAAAAAAAAAATCAAAATTTTACAAAACCTATTCTGTTTTATACCTAGCAAAATCACAAAGCTTTTATTTTATAGAATGCAATGACACGTTGGCCTTTGGGTTGATGGTTTTGTTTGTGCAGGAAATACAGAGCTCTGTTGAATCCAGATAAGAGTGTATGTTAATTGCACAGGTGATCTGGGTCAGTCCAGGTCATTGTGGTTCACTGCATGCTAATGGCGAGGCTGAGGCATCTGGCTCCAGACAGCAGACAGACTCAGTGATTCTAGATCACTGGAGCAGAAGACTTAGTATCAGCCCACATTCTAGCAGGGTGGATTAGTTTGTATAATGTGTGAATTGACATTGCTAACAAGTGACTGGAAATACTGTAATGATGAGTCTGATGCTCTGAACGCTAGCTTATAAATTGATTGAACTAAACAATTACTAAGATCTCTATGAAACTGCTTTATTTAAGAGACTCATTGGTCATGCATTTGCAACACTACGGCAGAGATACTGGTGAACACTAAACACATGGCTTGTAAGAAACATTTTTCTTCATTCGGTTTCCATAAAATTAGTACATAAAGCCATAAAATCTATATAATCAATCTGAACAATATCACCATTGACAAATGCTCTTCCTCAAATCAAGTTTAATTATATTAAGTCATTCCATCCATCTCACACGCAGTCTAAATCATTGATGAATTACACAAGGAGGATGGGATTGAGGTAACAAGCATTAAAGCCGAAACAGTCAGTGATGTAAGAGCAGTAACACCACAGTCATTTGAATATAAAGTTTTACAAGCTTTATCTCACCTGCCGTGGCTGTTAGACAACATTCTACACCTCAGTGTTGAACATTTTAATAGAGGTGATGCCATATTCTGCATCTGAACAGCTAAATTAGCTAATTCCCCTGCTCAAAAGACCATCTTAGGGCAGCATGAATTCCAGGCTGGTTTATCATGGATGTTTGTATGGTGCTGGTGTAAAACTGAACTGGTGATGTTGGTATTTCTGGTGATTCCGTCTGACAATTGAAGGCTTGCTGGTTAAGCTAGTCATGAAACCTTGTTGTAGTAGCACACTAACATCCACCAACCTCCAAATCACAAATTCAAGTAATCAAAGCTTGAGATAAATTATACAGATTGATCCACCTTTGCATGTTTATCAAGGTTTACTTGAACCAGCCGTCCTCTTAAACCAACTCTAATGTATTCTCTCATTTAAGACCACCCTGTGTAGCTTCTTGATTTTGATTTATGAGGCATGTCAAAGACTGGGCCCCCAGTGAGCTAGATTAACCCCTGTGATGGACAGCTTTGTGAATCAACAATCCATAAAGCATGGTTAATATAGTCTCATCTCTTACAACAATTGACTCAAAGTCAAAGATTCTTCTGTCATATTCTAATGAATGATATGTCAATCAAATAAAGGTGGCAGAGATGCTCCACTCTGCCTGTCATAGCAATGGGTGTGGGTACTGTCAGAGAGCACCATGACAAATCCTAATCTGACCTCAGTATGGCAGACAGACGGTGTACACTGGTGTCATGCCACGTTCTGCTGGTGATTTAACTCGTACATGGAGCAGTGAGAGTGGTGGCTCTCTTGGGATGTATTTATGTCTTTTTATGGATTTCCTAATAGTCATAAATCAATGCTTTCTGTGTAGGGAGTGATTAAAGAGGAGACCCACTAGAAACACAAGAGTGTCTGGTGTTAAGTGTATGCATAAATGCATAACATGAATAAACTCCATTATAAGGCATAATTAATATACTATATTTTAGTTGAACTGATGTTATACTTTAGTCAACATGTTGAAATAGAATCTAAAAGTTGATTCAAAACGTTTATACTAATAAAGAAACTGAATGGATGAATATACAATTCAATTTAACTATATACTTAGGGTATATATTTAACTTCAGTAGTGGTCCAATGAATAAACCACGTGAATGTACTAGTTAAAAAAAACAAAGATACTCACAGAACAGTGAATGCGGCCACACACAGCAGCAAGTGAACTAATTACAACCAAATCCTCGCAAGCTGTTTCTACCCGTACCACATTTGTGCCACAGTCGCCTTCAGTGACATTCAAGTGGTTCTTATAACATCACTGTCTCCCTGCATCCAAAGCCGCTGCTGGTTTCAGTGAGAAAGTTTGAATGAGCCCAGAAAGAGGTGGCGGTTGTGACGGTTGGGGTCTCGGTGGTGCATACTTACTCTTGTGCATAGAGGAGGACAAACGGTTAACCGAACAATTCTACAAGTTCCTCCGTCATCATTCAAACAGGAGAACAAAAAACCTGTCTTCTCTCAGCATCCTTTGAGAGGCCTTCCTTTCCAGACGTATAAACATGCGAAGCCTTTACATTCACTTGCTCAAACACGACTTCACTTACTCACAAATCCTGGTTTAAACACACACACTTTATGCAAGATGACCCATGCTTTTCCGTCGCCCACAGCCACAAGCAAACAATGTCCCTCTCTCCCTCCGGCTGCCCCCTCCCGTCAGCGCGTATTCTCGCTCTCTTGCCTTTGTTGTGCACAGTCCCATAGAGGAGGAATTCCTTGGTAAGGCAACCCACGGGATGTTCAGCTTCTGAAAAAGTCCTGAATGCTGTGTTTCAAGGTTCAGGATAGTAGGTATTCCCCGTCCGGTGGATTTGGTAGAGTTAAGGCAGGTCCGTAAGTCGGCAGTCTGTTGTGTGAACTCTTGTGCCAGACATTTAGACAGAGGAGCAGTCCCTTCACCTCCCTCTTTCCCTCCCAGCGTTAGCCCCTCCCCCAGCTCCTCTTTTGGCTCACAAACTCTTCTAATGAAACCGAGGAGGATAAAAAGCTTTCTAAAGACCCCCAGGCTGCTCCCAAACATTCACATGTTAAGTGACAGCTGCCTCCAGCCCCTCGCTCTCGTTTTTCCCTCCCTCTCCAGGGCAGACCGAGGCGGGCTACAAAAGGAGCCAACCATCCCGCACACAAAGCCTCCATCACCATTCAAAGCCCCCGCCACAGCTACAAAGACGACTAATTACTGTAAGACATCTCTGATTACTTTCAAGTCACTTTCAGTCCTGAAATTGCCAAACAAACAAAGAACAGTAGAGAAACCAACAGAGCGAAGGACTCGGCCACGTCTGCCTGAGTTTCATGGGAGTTGCGTGATGCTGCGTCTCCACTTTTGGAGTCTTTTCTGCTCCATTGCTGCTTGAGAACAGAAGGTTCTATCGCCACTATGTCTGTGGGTGTCAGATCTCAAATAATCCCTCTGACTGGTTCCCATGGGGGAAGAGAGGGAGAGTGAGGACAGGTGTGTATAGCAGGTGCAGTGAGGAGGACTCAGGTGTGTAACAAACACACAATTCCCCCATTCTTTTACCACACAAAAGACTCCAACCAACACCTGCACTGTTACGTATCCTTCATCTCACACAAGACTCAATTGCTCAATAGAACATGTCACTAACATATGGGAGAGAAATGGAAGTCCTTGTGATGCCACTATGTCAATTTACATTCAGTGGCCCTAAAACATATTAGGACCCTTAAACCACACTTCAAAATGCATGATGTAATTGCAGTAGATACAAAGAAGCTAATGCAGTGGCATTTTTTAAATCAAGTACAACATAACAAGCACACTTTCATGCAAAGCGTTTTACAAAAATACTCTTTTTTTGGTTTAAAATGGTAAAACAATATACTTATAAAAAATATACTTTTCAAAATAACTGTGGACCCTGTGGTTCCTT